ACTCTGGTTTTTCTCAAGCTGATATGGTTGTATAATTTAGCACTAGAAAGATAAGCAAAAGTATAGTTGGGGCTAAAATGTTGAGTTAAGTTCAATGACATTAATAAAAAGAGTATTAAATGTCTACTATGTACAAGGCTAGGCACGAAGGGAAGCCAAGAAAAAAAATGAAATGAAATAGTCCTTGCCCTGAAAAGACTTCATATTTGTGGAGCAGAGTTGGAGGGGATATATATCATGTACATGTAAACATGTAGAGAAATTCGAGATAATTTGAGGAGAAATCAATCACTAACAATAGAGAGAATCAGTAAATGTTTTGTGTAAGAAAGTACTTAGGCTGTAACTTGAAAGAAGCTAAAGCTTCAGAGTCAGAGGGAAGGAGGCAGCATGCATGAGCTTGGGGCATAGAGGAGGGGAGGGTAAATGGTGAACTTTGGAAACAACAAATAGGACATTTTGTCTGGAAAGTAGAGTGTATGAAGGAGAATAACATGAAATGTCTGGAAAGGTAGGTAAGTCAGAGCCAGATTATGGAGGGCTTTAAATGCCAGACTAAGGAATGTTATTCTAGGGGTAATAGGAAGGCATTGAAGATTTTTGAGCAAGGGAGTGACTTGGTCAGATCTATGTTTTGGGAAAATTTGTTTCACAATTGTGTGGAAGATGGATAGAAAAGGGGACAGACTGGAAGCAAAGAGATCCATTAGAAGACTATTGTCCTAGAAAGAGGACATGAACGTCTGAGCTAGGCCCATGTTTGTTTAAAAAGGGATGGAGATTTGAAAGATGCAGTGGAAGTAGAATCAACAAGACTGAGCAACTGACTGGATATAGGGGCAAAAAGAGGGAAAAGTAAAGGATGATGCCAAGGTTATGAATCTGGGCTTTTAGATGGATAATTGTACCATTAATGTAAATGGGGAAGTTTTGAGCAGTTACTTTTACATATTTTGAGCTTGAGATGCTTATGAGACATATAGGTGGTGTTATTCAGTAAGTAATTGGTGATATGAGACTGGAGCTATTAGACTTGAGTTATGATGACTGAGCTATTAGAGTCAACTTAATGGGGATGATAATTGAACCCATGGTCACTGACAAGATCAGGGAGAGAACAGGGCTCATGACAGAGCTTTAAAGGGCAGGACTTGGATGATGATCCAGCCAAAACAAAACAAAACAAAAAACAGAAGAGAGCTAGGTTGAAGAGCAGTGTCACAAAGGAGGAGCAGAGTCAAGATGGTATAGTGAAATCAACATTTTTCTGAGCTCAAGAGACACACCCCTTCCAAAACAACCTAAAAAATGCTTTAAATTGAATTCTAGGCAAGAAAGCCAATTAAAAGTTATAGTAAGCTATTTTTCCAGCTAAGGGAAGCTTAGGAATACAGAAAGAGAGGTCTGCAGAGAATGGGGTGAAGGCTGGCCAGGAGCCTGTGGTGTGGCAGAAGTAGCACTGGTCATAGTAGCAAAACTGGGCTGTGGCAGTGGCAAGAGAAGCGGGGAGCAGCCCAATATCCAAGGATGGTAAGGGACTATACACTTGGTCAGAAAGAGATCCCAAGGGATCTCTGAGAGCAGGAACAGTTGCAGCTGGCAGCTCTGTCACTCATTACCTAGTCCTAGTACTCAGTTCCACTTCAAAGAGAGAAGCAGTCAAGATCATGAGGTAGCAAAGGTCTTATCTGGGTAAGGACCAGAGCACAGACCAGAAGGCCAGTAACCAGATCTCTCCCCAGATCACACCATGTTGGAAGCACCATAAACTTACAAACTGCCCCCCCTCCCCCATTGTAAAAACAGCAGAAGGGCATAAAACACAAAAGCTCAATCCAGGTATCTTTTCCTACCCCAAGAGGTGAGCAGGTTCCAACTCTAACATAAAGTCCGAAGTCAGGCTGGAAAAATGAGCAAACAACAACAAAAAAAGAAACCTTACCACAAGAAGCTACTATAGCAATAGGGAAGCTCAAGACACAAATTCAGAAGAAGATAGTGATTTAAAAACATCTATAAGCAAAGCCTCAAAGAAAAATACAGATTAGAGAGGGGCAGCTAGGTGGCATAGTGGATAGAGCACCAGCCCTGAATTCAGGAGGACCTGAGTTCAAATCCGGCCTCAGACACATAACACTGCCTAGCTGTGTGACCCTGGGAAAGTCACTTAACCCCAATGCCTAGCTAAAAAAGAAAGAAAGAAAGAAAAAAGAAAGAAAGAAAGAAAGAAAGAAAGAAAGAAAGAAAGAAAGAAAGAAAGAAAGAAAGAAAGAAAGAAAAATACAGATTAGACACAAGCCCAGCAAGAATTCCTAGAGGATCTAAAGAAAGAGATAAAAAAGAGCAAAAAAAAAGATTCTAAAAATCAAATAAGAGCAGTGGAGGAAAAATTGGGAAAATAAATGAGAGCAATGCAAGAAAATTATGAAAAGAGCTTGGCAAATAGCTTGGTAAAAGAGGCACAAAAATACTGAAAAAAATTATTCCTTAAAAATCAGTATTGGCCAAATTATAAAAGATGTTACAACACACACACACACACACACACACACACACACACACACACACACAGTGTTACAGAAGCCAAGGGAAGAGTATATTCTTGAAGAGGGGTTAGTCAACAAAGTCAAAGACTGCAGAGGGGTCAAGAAGATATCTAAAAGAAGCCAAGGAGTTAAGAAATCAATTGTAAACTTGGAGATAACAATTTCAGTTGAATGGTGGTCTTTTCCAACACTAAGCATCAGTGTTTTAGACAACTATATACATGATTCCTTTTTACTTTTTCAATGATTAATTTTATTTTTATATTAATTTTTCCAGATATTCTAGCACCACTCCCCATCTCCCTCTATCATCAGCCTTCCCTTGCACCAAATAAGGAAGTTAAACATAACTAACTGACCTAGAGATCATATCTAACAGCATATGTAATATTTTGTATCCATAATCCCCCACTTCTCCAAGAAAAGGAAGGAGATAGATTTTCTCATCTCTTCTGCAGAATGAAGATTGTTATAATTTGCAGTATTCAGTTCTGTTTTAGTGTTCTTTTCATTGCATTACTGTAACCATCATAAACACTGGCTTCTAATTTCTGAGTTCCTTGAAGCAAAGACCTTCTAGTACTGGTGGTATTTTGAAGCTCATGTCTGATGAAGCTGCTCAGGATCTCAGGTGGATAGGGGTCCCTTCCAGTACAAGCCTTCCAGTTTCTCCAATTCCCTAAAGCTTGGCAATCCAGATGTGAAGGGGGGAATGGGCTTAAACACACAATTGTGACATCTGCATCATAAATGAAGCTTTGTATTTCTAACTTGTGCTCATTTAAAGCTATTTCAAGTGCAACATAAATGAGGTAGCATACAACTTTAGTCATTGTTTTTCACTGTGCATTGTAGAGGACATAATTAACATTCTCCAGTGTCATTAGTATTTAACATAATAGTCAATGAGAAGCCTGAGGATAATCGAGGTCCATTTTCCTAACAACCTAGAACAACTTCATTTCAGAGAAATAATGGGAAAAATATTCAAATCAATTAATGGTTATTTGACAACTCTCAGTTAAAGACTGACCCCTTCCTGACAAAGCCTGAACTCTATCACAATACAAACAACTGCCTTAAGGGAAGATTTTTAGGAAAAAGGACAAATGGCCCACATTTTTGGTTATAGCCCTATTCACGGAATTTTTATGTAAGCATTAACTTTCCCTTGCTTGAGAATCAATCAAAACTATTTATTGAACACCTATGGACAAGATGCTTTGCTTTTGTTCATTACCCACTATAAAAAGGGACATAACTTGACATTACTTACCTGACATGCCTTACAAACTGAAACTACTGAATACTATTGGAGTCTTTGAATTTGCTTCATCAAGAGTCATAGAACTATAAGCAATAAGCTCTCTGTCACTTGAGATATTCAAGAGAAGATGGATAAGCACCAGCCAACAAACTTCTAGAAAGGATTCATGCTTTGAATAGGGACATTTAATACATGATATTTCAAGACCTTTCCAACACCAAGAGCTAGTCATTCTAAGTACCTTTCAATTTAATCTCATAGACAACTATTTACCCAATACACGGCCCCTCCCTACATTTCCAGTCTTCTAACCACACTCCATTATCTGGCTTCTTTAAGCTACTTGCAGTTCCTCAAACACAACACTGACATAACAGGGTTATTGGGAGGATCAAATGAGATAACGTATGTAAAGTTCTTTGAAACCTTAAAGAGCCATATAAAATTATAGTTTTATAATGCATCTCCAGGTCTATTACTAGACACTAGTATACAGTATCTAGTACTAGACTAAAAGGAACAGGCCTGTCAGGCATCATTAAATTTCAGTCTTTCCATTAACAAATGCTTATTGACTTGAATTGAATTAAGATAGGGTTATGTATCTAGAGTTAGAAGGGACCTCTGAGGCCATTTGGTCTATCCCCTCTTTCATTTTGCCAATGAGGAAGGTGAGGCCCAGACAAGTTAAATGATTTGCTTAAAGTCATACAGGTAGTAAGTGCCAGAGGCTGGATAATGAATGGGATGTCCCAGTGAAGACTTCTCAGTGTAATTAAGGTAATGAGTTCAAAAGGTAGCACGAGAAATGAACTCTCAGAAGTGAAGGCTCCTCAAAGGGTCAAATAATTCTTGATTACGACTTTCAAAATCCTCCCGCACTCGGACTCTGTTTTTAAGCACTTAACAGAAAGAATAAGCCCTGCCTCACCCCCAGCCTGAGCCGTTTGCCCTTGGCGACCGGCCTCTTTTCTTGTCCTAGAATTTCTCGAAATGTAAGCCCCACCTCCCAGTTAAGGGGATAGGAAGAAACTTTCGAGCTTAGAATGTAAGCCCACCCCCAGTTAAGGGGTAAGGGATAGTGGTGGGTGGAGACTTGTTTGCGTAGAGTGTGGAGACTTTGCGTGGTGGGCGGAGAATTGCTTTTATAACGCGGCCCCTCACGCGCGGGTCTCTCTCTCTCTCTCCGCGTCTGTTGGAGGAGTAGACAGCCATCTCGGGTGATTGTAATGAAGGTAACCTTTTGCTTTCCACCGTGAGAAGTCTCTGAGTTTAATTTGGGTTGGGGTCGCTGTCCCACACAATAAGAACCTTGGTTCTCTTTCCATTGTAGCATACCTCCCACTGCCAAGACTGTGCTTGGAGCCTTTCCAGCTTGTTAGGAACTTGAGCTCTGCTGGCTTAGTCTTTGAGAACCTAGGGTGACATGATGTGGTTACACACTATGTTGGGACATTGGACTTAGACTTTGGTGGTAGTTCTGTGCAGTAGCCCATTCAAGCAGTTACTTATCTGCCATCTTTCAAGGCTATGACATTTCAAAAGTTTGAGAGATATAATTTCTGGGTAATTAATGCTAGAATTTAATTAACAAAATGTGGCAGTGACATTCTCAAATGTCAAAGTCTCCTCACAGAAGTCACTCAACACTTATACACCTTTGGAAGAGTGGGTGTTCCTGAGGGTGGCAATTTACACCTTGATTGGTTAACAAGTAATAAGAGAGAATGAATGTTATAATGAGAAGTGGACCTATTCTAACGAGGGGCTGGTGGCTGTGACTTTGAGCATGTTATTTACTTCTCAACCCCCTACCCCCCAGGCTTAGCCAATCTAATCAAAGATTTTATACCTACCCAAACCTGAATAGAACACAGTGGGCTTCTCCAGATCTGGTCTGAACAAGATTGAGGAGAAAGTTAATCCAATTTCATTATCAGCAATGTCTTTCAGATGCTGGCTGGGCGAGGTAGAGAATAAGATGTCAGAAAGGAATAAATCCTGTGTCTCCCCAATATTAACAATTAGTTATTTAATGATCATTTCTCTCAAGGCAATGTTTCCCAGCTCTCCATAATTTCATTATCTCAATGGAATTTGCACCTCTGTGTCTCTTCGCCTCAGTTCATTTTCTGGCTGCTGCTTTAGAATACTTAACACACTTGCAGTCCAGGAGAACTGCTGTGTATTGTAACTGACTGGACACTAGTATCTACTGTTTGTAATCTTGCCTTACCACTTAAGGAAGGGTGTTTTAGGTCTAGGGCTAGTATTTTCTCCTCTATTGAGGTGACCCTCAACCCCCTGAATGCCTTTCTACCTGATATCTCATACGTTCTGCAACATGAACAGCAACCTACCTTATTAATTTGCTTTGTGGTTTTATTGCATTAATTTTTCAATCAACCTCTCAGCTTACTGTAAATCTATTTTTTTCCTGTAGTTCGTCTGGTTCAATGTTATCAAATGCATAGTTTTTCAAAGTGTATTTAGCATTTAGGATGCCATCCATGTGACAGTGACGTCATTACTCACCAGTAAATAAGTGTAGGGAATTATGAACAAAAATACGATGTATTCCTCCATCCCAGCAGCATTTGACATTTTAATTAGCACATTCAAAGCTACTTTCACACAGGTCTGCATTATGTGAAAGAGAATGTTCTTTATGAATTACACTGTAGGTAAAGGAGTCAGGGCTCAAATATTTTACTTTTTCCACTCCTAAAGAAATCTCTGGGGCTCTTAGAGGGGCTCACAGAGAATTATGGCTCACCGCATCATCACAGAGACTTTTCCCAGGCATGACCAAGGAAAAGTGAATGTTGTTATACACTTCAAACTGTTGGATGGAGAATGACAGAAGTGCCTGTTTAATTGTACAGATAAAGAGATTGCTCTCTTTGCTCAGAAATTATGGTGGGTCCATTTGACAGTTTGATTGAACAAAGGAGAACAATTATGATTCAGTCCAATGATGCCTCAGTAAATTGCTCTTAAATCTAAACACCATTATCTGTCTTTTTTATCCAAAACACTCCTACCTGGCCACCACACCCCTGCATATATTTTGCCTAGATCTTACTTTTATTTGTATCCTCAGGGCTTAACAAAGTGTCTGACACATAGTAAGTGTGTAATTCACAATTTTTCATTCATTCATGATGTCTCATTTTACTATACCTGTGGACATATGGCTGAAATATAAACTCACAATATGACACTACTTCTGAAAATTTAGGGAAAAAATTAACCATATTACATAAAGACAGTGTTATTGGCTATTAATCAAAACATGAGAATAAGTATTGGATACTAAGAACATGATTAGATAATAGATTACTTTAAAATTTATTATTTCATTTGATCCAATCAATAACTCTGAGAGATAGGGCACATAGATATAGAGGCCCTGGGGTCAGATCTAGGTTTTTACCAATGTAAGGCACTCCCAGTATGGAACTTCTCTCTACCACCACTGCAGATATGCAATTCTCTAGGAATCTTATGCTCTTAAAGGATATCAGGGTGCATTGAAAAATTAAGTGATTTGCCCCTTATCACAAAGTTAGTGTATGACAGGAGCAGGACTCACTGCAAGGCCAGCCTTCTATCTGCTATGTCAGGGTGCCACTTAAGGCAGATATCATTATCTCCATTTCACAGAGGAGGAACTTGAAATTCAAAGATATTAAGTCAAGTCAAGTCAATAAGCATTTATTAAGTGCCTACTGTATGCCAGGCATTGTGCTAAGTTCTGAAGATATAGAGAAAGGTAAAAGATCATAGGATATAACATGCAAACAACTGTGTATAAATTATATGAAGGATAAATTGGAGATAATCTCAGAATGAAATCACTAAGATTATGGAGAACTGGAAAAGACTTTCTTGTAGAAGAAAGAATTTTAGCTGAGACTTGACAGAAGCCAGAGAAGGCAGGAGGCAGATATGACCCGGGAGAATATTCCAGGCATGAGATCAATCAGTGAAAATACCCACAGTTAGGAAATGGAGGGTTTTGTGTGAGGAACGACAAGAAAGTCACTGGGGAAAATAAGGTTTTAATGCATGATCCATAACTAGAGAGAAGGCTTAAAAAGCAAAGAGCCCCTCAAAAGGTAATGATAATAATAATGAACAACAATATCTAAGATCAACATAAAGATTTGCAAAGTGCTTTGCATACCTACAACACAAATATTACAGAATTTCAGAGTTAGAATGGACTTCAAAGGCTCTCTAGTGTAACTGACACCTGAACTAAGATCCCCTCTCCAACATCCAGCTTTGACTTGAAACCTCTAATGAGGAAATATCCATCACCTGCTGAGGCAGTACATTCTACTCTAGAAACATCTAATTTTTAGGAATTTTTCTTCAAATATGCTCACTGCAATTTCTGTCTTTTGCTTTCAGTTCCTCCCTCAGGGACTAGTAGAATTCATCTTCCATCTGACCACATGAGTTAAATGACTTAACAAAAGTCACTTGTAAGCAATTAAAAAGGGGAAGAACCTGGATTCAAACCCAGAAATAATGAGTCAGCACTAGATTTTTTTTTAAGAGTTGGAAAGAACCTTAGATATTATCTAACCTGATTTATTTTTAAGGCAGCTAGGTGGCACAGTGAAGAAATGTTGGACTAGGAGTCCAGAAAACATGAGTTCGAATCCTGCCTTGGACACTTTATCCACTCTGTGACTCTGGGTTAAGTCACTTAGTCCCTCTGTCTTAGTTTCCTTATCTATAAAATGGGAACAGTATTGAGGGAGAACACAATATACAACTGCACCAATGGAACAGTGTTGATTGTCTTTGCACACACACAGACGCAAAAGAAACAGAGGGTCCTTGAAGGAAGTTCAGAAGGAAATCACAGGCAAGGATAACAGCTTTGAAAGTCATATGTTGGATTTACATACTTTTTTTTAAAGCCAGCTATGAATCAGAGAGATTCATGGTTTCACACAAAATTCTTTTTCTTTTTTTTTTACTTTATATGTGGAAATGTACCTTGTTTGATGTTTCTGAGGTTGAGAACTCTAAAAAATAAAAATAAATAAAATGGGGAAAATAACTAGTATATACTTGACAATGTTGTTGAGAGGCTCAAATGAGATAGCATTTGTAAAGATATTTGCAAACCTTAAAGTATTATATGCAATACATGTTATATATAATATACATAATTATAGATTGTATATAAGGTATTATATAATATATATATAGCTATCATCATCATCATCATCACCATCATCATCAATAACATTAGACAGATTAGGAAAGTGAGACTCAGTGAGGTTAAGCAATTTGCTCAAGGTCACATCACTAGAACCAGAGTGCGCCTCCAGCGATCCTTCTATTGCTAATGCTCAGTGGGTTATAGTGAGGAAAAGATCTTGAGATTCTTAAAGTGTTCATAAAAGTCATTATGCCACATAACCAGTGCACTGAAAGAACAAAAGATTGAAAAACAAGAAGATTTTGCTTGGTTAACTTCAGGCACCCAGTAAATCTGGGATTACCAATTTTAACTCTCAGAAAAGCCAAACACTTTTCTTTGCAGTCTTGGGTTGATTTGGTCAAGGATTAACAAAATAAGTAAAATATATTGCACTGTATTCTGGAATTACAGACTCCCTAGAGAGATAGACAACTCCCAGAGAGGGACACAGCTCTAGGGCTTTGGTATAGACTGAGCAGACTGTTTCCCCCCACTTTTAAACACTTTATTCATTAATTTCTTCTGTGTTGTCTACCAACATGACCAGATCTCCCCCATTCTAAGAACAAACAAACAACAGCTCTTTTGTTTGACCTTTGTTGTGGTTGGTGAGTCATTTTCACTTGTGTCCCTCTCTTTGTAACCCAATTTTGGGGTTTTCTTGGCAAAGACACTGTAGTGGTTTGCCAATTCCTTCTCCAGTTTATTTTATAGATGAGAAAACGGAGGCAAACAGTGTTAAGTGACTTGCCCAGAGTCACATTGTTAGTAAGTGTCTGAGGCCGGATTCGAACTTAAGAAGATGAGTCTTCTTGACTCCAGGTCTCGTACTCTATTCACTATGCCACCTAGCTGCCCCTGTTTGACCTTCCCAGCCTCTCAAACTATCATCCTGAAGTCTACTCCCATCTAGCTCTGGGATAGCCCTGGTTTGGAAGAACCAGGCCTCTCTGGGAGGCCAAAGATAGTTTCATAACTTCCTGTCCTCTCAGACCAGCCATGGTGAAA